GTGGGTTTAAGAGAAGGTTAGAAACAGACTGTTAGAGGACAGAAAAACAGGGTTAGAATCAGCTGAGCAGTCAGAAAGATGTCAGAGACGTTAACGTTAGCAGAAGCAGTACCTACTAACTACTAGAGCCGTGAGAGAGAACAATTACACTACAGGATTCAACACTGAACTATAGGAAGATGGAAGGAAGAGAGAGAGAAAGATAAAGAGAGAAAGCAAATGCTAACCTTACAGTTAGTTGTGGGGTGTTTGAGAGTGATTAAATGCTGATTGATTAATTGCTGTTACTCAACTAATAAATTTTTAGCAAAACTGTGGTCTGTGATCATTCCAGCTGTCAAAACCACACAAAAGACATCTGAAGCTAGATGATGATAATTTGATATAAGTTAATTAATATTACTTTATTAGTTAAAGGGATAGTTCACCCAAAAATGAAAATTTTATGTTTATCTGCTTACCCCCAGGGCATTCAAGATGTAGGTGACTTTGTTTCTTCAGTATAACACAAACGAATATTTTTAACTCAAACCGTTGCAGTCTGTCAGTCTTTATAATGGCAGTCAACGGGCTCCACGGCTTTGAGAGTAAAAAAAGACATACACAGATAAAACCAAATTAAACCCTGTGGCTCGAGACGATACATTGAGGTCTTAAGACACAAAACGATCGGTCTGTGCAAGAAACTGAACAGTATTTATATCATTTTTTACCTCTGATCCACCGCAATGTCCAACTGTCCTGAGCGCATTCACAACATCCGGCGCGTGATGTCAAATAAATATGGTTGGGCAAAAAATTCCACGTTGTCTGATGATATATCAAAATCGTCTTCCATTGTGATGACCTGTACTTCTAAATATCTTTGGATCATCGCAGAGCCAGTGAACACGTCCACAATCTCTCTGCACTGTGTAAATAATGAGTGACGTATACGCGCGACAGTTCGCTTCCGCACATGCGTCTACCATCATAGATATGTATATATTCCCTATTCGACTGCTCCAGATACGTTGACGCGTCCTCCATTTTAGAATGTATCGCGGCCCATAGAAACAGTCACTAATGAGGCATCTACTTATATATATCTATGTCTACTATGCCAGAGCACGTACACGCGTCACAACCGGACATTGTGAGGTGCTCAGACATTGCGGTGGATCAGAGGTAAAAAATTATAAAAACACTATTCAGTTTCTTGCACAGACCGATCGTTTCGTGTCTTAAGACCTCAATGTATCATCACGAGCAGCAGGGTTTAATTTGGTTTTGTCTGTGTATGTTTTTTTTTTACTCTCGAAGCCGTGGAACCCATTGACTGCCATTATAAGACTAATAGACTGCAACAGTTTTGAGTTAAAAATCTTTGTTTGTGTTCTACTGAAGAAACAAAGTCACCTACATCTTGGATGCCCTGGGGGTAAGCAGATAAACATCAAATTTTCTTTTTTGGGTGAACTATCCCTTTAATAAAGTAATATTAATTAACTTATCAAATTATTAATTAACTTATATCAAGTATGGATCATAAAATACTTAATTATTTTATGATCCACACAAAATAAAGATGTAAAGAGAAACTGCTGTATCTGTATTTTAATTTTTTTTTTCATTTAGCAGTCGCTTTTATTGAAAGTGACTTACAAATGAGTAATTAATAAATCTTAAGGATGCAATAACATGAGTGCTAACAATAAAACTATAAAAAACTGTGTGAAATAGAACATTATTTTATTTGTTATATTTACATTATATTTTTTGTTAACAATAATGAAGGTGCTAAAATGAAATTCACACTAAACATAAATGCATTATTAAGGTAATTCCAATACTTTTATTTAAAGGGGTCAGATGATGCGATTTAAATTTTTCCTTTCTCTTTGGAGTGTTACAAGCTCTTGGTGCATAAAGAAGATCTGTAAAGTTGCAAAGACTAAAGTCTAAAATCCAAAGAGATATTCTTTATAAAAGTTAAGAGTCAGCCACGCCTACCTAAAACAGCTCGTTCTAACACGCCCCCACATGTCTACCTCACTATGTGGGAAGATTTGCATAACGCCGCCCAAATGTTCACGCAAAGAAAGGCGGCGTAACTTTTATTCTCGCTGTAGTATTGTTGCTCCCGCCGCCGCCATGTCGTGGAGACGCTATGTGTTTCGTTGTGAAAGCGAAACTACTTTGTTTGGTCTTCCAAAAGAGGACTATATCCGCTTCGTCATGTCTGGAGCTGATCCATGCTGGTCGCTGAGGAAATACATCAACTTCGCACTGTGGATTGCCGGATCGGCTTTCACCATGAACGAAGCGGAGTCCAGCCCGGGGTCGTCACATGTGGTTGCCGCAAGCCCGCCGGTCGCACCGTTCTCAAGTCCTCCCGCCGCCGCTCACTCAGGCCCGCCGGCCTCCACTCACTCTAGCCCACTGTGTGAAACTACTTTGTCTGGCTTTCCAAAAGAGGACACGACTACAAATCAGTGGTTAAGTTGTATTTACAACACTGTTCCAGAACAGTTCAACCCAAATATTCAGATGTGTGCAGCACATTTTATGGAGGACTGTTTCCTGATCCTGGGAGAGTAGACTACAATGCCGGCTGTTCTGACTCACAGACTAAGTACGTTTTAATTTAAAGAATTTGCCACTGATGATTCAAACGTGAGTTTTGGGCAGTGTAGAGGGCACTTGATGTTTGTAATTTCTCTGATCACAAATGCAGACATGGTTTTATGTTTACGCGACACGATGCAACGCAATGCGAAAAAAGACAGTATAAGTCATTATAATCCATAAATATGTCCCCACTGGATGCAACAAATGCCTCGTTTATAATGGGTTTCAATTTTTTTGTCTCGTCGCTCCGGTCGGACAGGGCATGACAGTATGGTAAGGGTCGTAACATTTCCATCACACGCTTGAGGTATTCGGCCAATCACAACGCGCTGGATAGCTGGCCAATCACAGCACACCTCGCTTTTCAGAACGATGAGCTTTGTAAAAATCGACGCGTTTCAGAAAGGCGGGGCATAGAGGAGAAACAATAATGTACAGTATGTAGAAAATAATGTGTTTTTTGAACCTTAAATCGCATAAACACATTTCATTACACCAAATACACAAAATAATGTTCTTTTTAGCAACATCATATGACCACTTTAAATATATTTAAATTATAGTTAAAAATGGGAATTTCAACAATTCATCAATCAGATCATTAATTTTAATGACAGTTATGAAAACTCTTTAGCTAATTAATATAATTAATTTAATAAAATATACTTATATAATTTATACAATTAAATCTAAATAAACCCAAAACAATGTTGAGAAAAGCCTTCAAAACAGCCTTAACATATTATGACAGACATGTAAATCTTGAACGTTCATTAAACTCTTTACATTATAAAAATTAGCTTATATTAAGTCAATATATTTCAATTTCATATTAACAAAAGCCTGTCACTGTCTCGAGACGGTCTGGTGTAGATTTAACTGACCAGGCTGAATTGATCACAGACTCACACAAACATGATTCCCATTTAGGCGGTACTTTCAAGCTTGAATTGCTCTGACGGAAGCATCAGTTTTTATTTCAAAATCTATGTATAGGTCCGTGTATGACACTGTATTAAATTAGCATGTTAAAATGTCACCAAGTTAGTTATGTCATTAAAGCACACTAAATTGAAACTAAAGTTTAAAATAGGACAGAAGAATGCAGACAGATACAAAGAGGAACACTAACTAAATATCAATCACACTCGAGCCGAACTGAAGCATAACGAGAGAACGATCCCAAAACGAGTGGTGATTAAAGCCCGAGCAGAGACAGACGAGAGTTTAAACAGCGGGATGTTTCTTCATCACCACAGGAACGAGAGATTCTGTTCCCGGAGACTCTCAGAAATGTCAGGCTAAAAATAGAAGGTGATGATGAAATTTGTGCGTTTTTTCGGCACAGTTGTGAGGTATGTGTCGATGACGTTGCTAACGCTGAATAAAATCTTAAACGTTTGAATACAATTTAAACTTTAAACAGAGAGAAGACCAAGAGAAAGACAGGAAGAGAGAGCGCTGATGCGCTGAATAATGAAACCAACCAAAAATAAGAAGTTGATGTGAAAACTAGAGGCGGATTCCCTGCCATAGCACGGTTCAAATTGTAACTTGCGATGATAGAGAATTGAGATATTCTCAATCTAAAGTGATTATACGAATAAAACACATTTTTCTGTAAACGTACACTAATGTTCAAAAGTTCAGGGTTGGTAAGATTTTTTTAATGTTTCTGAAAGAAGTGTCTTTTGCTCACCAAGACTGCATTTATTTTATCAAAATACAGTAAAAACAGTAATATTGTGAAATATTATTACAATTTAAAATATCTGTTTTCAACTGTAATCTATTCCTGTGATGTGCAGCTGTATTTGCAGCATCATTACTCCAGTCTTCAGTGTCACATGATCTTCAGAAATCATTCTAATATGCTGATTTGCTGCTCAAGAAACATTTCTGATTATTATCAATGTTAAAAACAGTTGTGCTGCTTCATATTTTTGTGGAAGTTGTGATACTTTTTATTTTTAAGGATTCCTTGATGAACAAAGTTGGAACTGTAACATTATAAATGTCTTTACAGTCACAGTATTGAGATGAAATTTTGTTATTGACCAAATACTTATTTTCCACCATAATTTGCAAATAAATTCTTTAAAAATCCTACAATGTGATTTTCTGGATTTTTTTTCTTCTCATTTTGTCTCTCATAGTTGAGGTATACCTATGATGAAAATTACAGGCCTCTCTCATCTTTTTAAGTGGGAGAACTTGCACAATTGGTGGCTGACTAAATACTTTTTTTCCCCACTGTATATATATATAAATAATGCAACCCTGCTGGAAAAAAAATAAAATAAAAATCTTACTGCCCCCAAACTTTTGAACATTAGTACATGATTCCTTGATTGCAGTGCAGTTTATAAACACGCATGCGTGAAACTCACCATATCGCTGTCACTGGGCTGGAACTGGAAGTCTTGTGCTTTGTGGAACACTGGGTTCTCCTGCAGGAACAGCTGCTGGTTGAAGTCCTGCATCACCTGGACATGACAACACAACTAATTCACAAACATATCAAGATAACGCAAGTTTATATGACATGTAAAAATGTTCCTTCAAAGGGAGAGTTCACCCCAAAACGGACTTTCTTTCTTTCTTCTTGGAACATAATCCATCTCAGTGCTTTTTTGTGCACACAATTTCAATTGAATTTCAGTGTTCTTCAAAATATCTTTTGTGTTCTGCAGAAGAAAGAACACCATGCAGGTTTGGAAGCTGAGTCGGTTGGAAGGTGAGTAAATGATGACAGAATGATAATTTCTGTGTGAACTATCCCTTTAAGAGCTAGTGCAGGAAAGATCCTTGCATAACTCTCTCTCTCTCTTACACACACACACGTCACAATAGTGGTATGTAAAATTAGGCTCCCTTGGGCAGTGAAATAGTGCTCAGACAGATGTGTTTATCAGCGCAGTGGAGGAATGATGTGTGTGTGTGAGATGATTTCTTCATAGGGGAGCCGATAATGAGGCGCTGACAGAGGGAATCTATTTCTGGTAATGAAGAGGGAAATTGAGAGAGTGATGAGACTAAGAAAGAAGAGAGAGACTCACTCGACTGGACTTCTCCAGCAGGAACTGGAAGGTGCTGTGGACAGCTTGAAACGCTTCCAGCTCGGTCCGACAAAAGGATATCAGATAATCCTTCACATGGTCATATACGTTCCCCTCCAGACCCTAGAGAGAGAGAGAGAGAGAGAGAGAGAGACAGCTTACACAGTCTGTGTTTGAACTGAATAAATAACAAATGACCTTGTGCTTTCAGAAAGGTTCCAAAAAGTGAAATGAGAATGATAGAATGATGGACAGACAGAAAGAATGACAAATAGAATGACAGAACAACAGACAGATTTAAGCATAAAAAAATTACAGAATGGTTGACAGAACAATAGAATGATAGAAAGAATGACACATGGGAAGACAGACAAAAATATAGAAAAATAATCAAATGATAGAAATGACAAATGATGGATGAGATAGAATGAAAGAGAATATTAGATAACGGTAGAATAGGAGCAAAACAAAAGAACTATGACAGAATTAAGACAGAAAGATCTAAAGAACAATAGACAGAACGAAACAACAATGATGAAATGATAGAGCAATAGAAATAATGACAGAACAAAATGATAAAGACGACAAAAAATAAAGAATGAATGAGACAAAATGATAGAAAAATGACAGAAAGACAGAGCAATAAACAGAAAAATATTGAAAAACAATACAATGATGGACAGATAGAATGGTTAAAAACAATGTTAGATAATGGTAGAATAAAAAAAAGAATAAGAAGCCAGAAATATAGAAAATGATAGAAAGAACAACAGATAAAATGACAAAAAGAATTAAAAATAATGGTAGAATTAAAAAAAACTATAGAATGACAGAGCTTAAAAGCATTGAAAGAAACAGATACAAAGAACAGGCAGAATTGAAAGAACATGACAGAAAAATAGATAAAAGATAAAAAAAGACAAAGAATGACAGATGGTATGTTTGAAAACTGACAATGACATTAAAATAATATAGAATGACAAAGTATGATAGATAAAACGACAAACAGATAGAATGACAGAAAGAACAATAGATAATGGTGGAATGATGAGTTAAAAACGTATAAAAAAATTGATAGGGAATTTAGAACGATAGAAAGAAACCGATAGAAAGACACAAAGAACAATAGAATGACAGAATGAACCAACAGAATGAAATGATAGAAAAAAATAGACAAAACAAAACAAAACAACAGAAACAAAAAAATAGTCAGTTAACTGACACCAAACGCATTTGTATGAGAGACAGAAAGAAGGACAGAGCGTCCCATCGGCCCCCTTGTGGCCAAACAAGTGTTTTCTCTGGACTGTGTGACGCTCGGATCAGAGCAGATTGTTCAAACAGCAGCAGCTGCTGGGAAAGGTTAGCCAGTTCAGATTCCAAGGCCTCAACGTGCAAAAACAAAACTCGAAACCTCTGCTTTCCCTCTCTCTCTCTCCTGCTCCCTCCATGTTCAGCAGCACTGGGAAGGAATGTATTTTGGAAACAGGCTTGGATTTGTATGAGTGAGCTGGAAATGACACAGACCCGACCACGAGCCGGTCTGGATTCACGGGCTCCGTCGGGTTACAGCAGGTGGCGCCGCTGTCAGGAAGCACTTGAGTGCCGTATGCATGAGAGAGAGATGGAGAAAGAGGCTGTGCTTCCTTCTGATAGGATCATGTCTACCTCCACCCACCACACTCAAAACTCCATAACATCCATGTGTGAGAGCCGTGGTCTGAGAGCAGCGGCACCAGCTTGCTGTTGTTTTCTCGCCTTTCAAAGTTGCAAGAGATTTTAAAGTAATAGTTCAGCCAGAAATGAAAATTACTCCCCCTCAGGCCATCCAAGATGTAGATGATTTTATTTCTTCATCAGATTTGGAGAAATTACATCACCTGCTCCCCAATGGATGCTCTGCAGTGAATGGGTGGCGTCAGAATGAGAGTCCAAACAGCTGATAAAGGCGAGCGTTTTTAGCTTCAAACCATTTCTTCCGGCTAAAATACAAATCCTCTATCCATAATAACATTTCCTCTAGTAGAAAAAGTCCATCTTCTGTTGCCCTCTCACATCAAAATGAAACAAATCCACAGACAAATTTGTTTAGAACTGCTTTGGACTGTTTTCACTACAAACGGTGAACGGTGCTTGATATCTGCATTTTTCTCTCCCGATTCAGACAAGACATCTTTTTTAGTGGAGAAAGTAATATTAACTCATTTTTAACAAACATGCAGCTTTAACTGCTGGACTGGAGTGGTGTGGATTATTGTGATGTTTTTTTTCAGCTGTTTGGACTCTCATTCTGACGGCACCCATTCACTGCAGCGCATCCGTTGCTGAGCAAATCTGCTTCCATGAAGAAACAAACCCATTTAGGTAACACTTTATAAAATCTTTCATTAATAAATCTTTAATAAACATGATATAATGCTTAACAGATCATTAGTTAAAGGCACAATATGTAAGATTTTTTTTATTAAAATATCCAAAAACCACTAGAACAGTGTTATATATTTTGCTGACTTGTGTACTTACATTAGGCGCGTTTCCACTACCCTTCAAATTGCGCAAATTGAAATTGCGAATTGAAAATACGCTTAATGGAAACGCGTCAATTTCGCAAAAACTCCCATATAATCGCAAAAAAGTTTTTACGCTAGCATGAGGTGGTTTTTCAATGCGAAAAAGGATTAATTTGCAAAACTGCAATGGAAACTGCTTTTTCGCATTTACAGGTCACATGGCGTATCTAAAAAGTCATATGATCATTCTTCAATGTACTATAACCTCCAAGAAACACATCATAAGTGGCCGCGCTCCAGTATAAGGGGCTTTCCCTACTATTAATGCTTAGACAATTTACACTGCACACGTCTGCGGTGCAGTGTGGCTCTGATCCGGTCACTGAAGCTGATTGCGGCCACTCAATGCTTTTGTTTGTTTTTATACAGTCTATGGTTTATTTCAGCCGCGCCACGCACGTTTCTGAAGCGGCTCTCTTTGCTGCTTCTGTAAAGATACACGCATAAGCCTCCTTTAAATCAAAAAGTCAAAATCCCACTAAAATCTGTTGCCATGACTTATCGCGAGAGGCAAAAGGTTATGTTTAGTCGCATAACATTGGTTAATGGAAACGGCGTCATTTCGCAATACTTTTTTATCGACATTTATAAAATATCGCCAAAGTTTTGCGCAAATCTGTAATGGAAACGCGCCTATTATCCCAAATGTTTCGAAGAATGTTTAAATCCAGAGAAATAAGCAATTTTAACTAGTGACACTGAGCGTGTCCGTAGTGTCATTGTGTCGCCTGCCAATGACGTCATACACCCTCGATTTCCGGTTTTGTTTTGTAGAAAACATGGAAACACCAAAGATGCTTTAATATGCTATGTGTTTTATTAGACAGGTGACGACTGCACAGAGTAGCATTATAACAGAACTTTCAAACGTATCTAGTATGATAAAACAGCGCTGCTTTACCCCACATACGCACGACCAGAAGCAGCGGAAGCGGTCGACTGTGGCATAATAAAAGCTCCGCTGCTTTCGAGCCGCGTGTCACGCTCGTTCAGCGCCTCGTTTCACTTCGACGGCTTTCAGCCTCATCCTGCTTCATTCTACTATGTTAATAAATCATCAGCTCATCCATGAACATTATTTCTGCCTGAGACCCATCGGATTGCGTCGGCTGTGGGGATGAAGACCACAACTTCCATGATTCCACACTCAGTCATGGCGCCATCAAACTGCGCCTTTGTTTCTTTTGAATATGCGCCCTCTAGCCGCAAACAATTACATATCGTGCCTTTAATATATTCACATAGCTGGAAATATGAGATAACATGCTTGGTAATGCTTACTAATTATTAACTTAAGAACTTATGAAATATTACATAATGATTAACAGATTATTATTTAATGTAAATTGAAATGCTTACAAATGTCATTAAACTTTCAATTCATATGATCATTAACAAGCACATTATCTCATATCTCTAGCTATTTGAATATATATTAACTAATGATCCGTTAACAATTATATAATATTTGTTAGTGATTTATAAATGAAAAAGTGTTACCCTCATTTACATCTCGGATGGCCTGAAAGTGAGGAAAAATTTCAGCAAATTCTCAATTTTTTTGGGTGAACTATTCCTTTAAGCTTGCTTATTTTGTCAAGGCTACACATTCACAAACTCTCTGAAAACATACCCAAATGTGTCTCCATGTGTGAAAAACTATAATTCACGTGGCCCGTGGTTACAAGCGCACCCGGACAGACGGGAACACACGCATACACACACAACACAGCAAAAGACATAAAGCAAACACAAGCATCAGCTGAACAAACACTTCTGCTGCATAATAAATGCTTCACTTTACACCCCAATGCCTCCTGCAGGAAACTAATGAACCCCTCACACCACACACACACACACACACACACACACATGACTCGATATGAACCTGTGGTGCACATTTAGCAACAGCCGTCTGCTGGCTATAAATAGAGCCTATCAATATGTATATGCAAACTATTTTTATACATTTTTTCCCGGACAGACGGGAACACACGCATACACACACAACACAGCAAAAGACATAAAGCAAACACAAGCATCAGCTGAACAAACACTTCTGCTGCATAATAAATGCTTCACTTTACACCCCAATGCCTCCTGCAGGAAACTAATGAACCCCTCACACCACACACACACACACACACACACACATGACTCGATATGAACCTGTGGTGCACATTTAGCAACAGCCGTCTGCTGGCTATAAATAGAGCCTATCAAAATGTATATGCAAACTATTTTTATACATTTTTATACTAAGTCTATAATGTGAGGTTTAGAAGAAAAAAAAGTTCAACCTAAACTAAATTAAATCATTGTAGTTTTTTATAACACAAGTTAATATTCAACACTATACACTACCATTCAAAAGACTGTAAGATGGAAGTAGTGGCCTAATGGCTAGAGAGTCGGACTTGTAACCCAAATGTCGCGGGTTCGAGTCTCAGGTCTGGCAGGGATTGTAGGTGGGGGGAGTGAATGACCAGCGCTATCTTCCACCTTCAATATCATGACTGAGGTGAGACCCTTGATCAAGACACTGAACCCCCAATTGCTCTCTGGATGCCACAGCAAAAATGACTGCCCACTGCGGCGGGTGTGTGTTCACGTTGTGTGTGTGTGCCCTACTCACTGCTGTGTGTGTGCGCACTTGGATGGATTAAATGCAAAGAGACACCATACTTGGCCACACATCACGTCACTTTCACTTAATAATGTGAAATATTATCACAATTTAAAATAACTGTTTTATATTTGCATATGTTTTAAAATGTCATTTATTTCTGTGATGCGCAGCTGTATTTTCAGCATCATTCCTCCAGTCTTCAGTGTCACATGATCCTTCAGAAATCATTCTAATATGCTGATTTGCTGCTCAAGAAACATTTCTGATTAATTTTGAAAATTGTGTAAGAATATATCTGGAAATATGACTGATGAGACTATTCTCATCAATAATCAAGTCATAGATGTACAGCAATAGTATATTGACCGTAGCCAAGGTTACGGCTCAGCCAATGGGAGATGAGGAGAAGGGCTGTAGTGGGCTGGTTATTCAGCATTTGGTGGAGCCTGAAACACAGACTCATTCTAATATGCTGATTTGCTGCTCAAGAAACATTTCTGATTAATTTTGAAAATTGTGCTGCTTCATATTTTTGTGATATATATACTTTTTTTCAGGATACTGTGATAAACAGAAAGTGAGCCCAGACTTTTGAATGGTAGTGGAATAGTAGTGATTTAAATGGTTAGTTCACTTTCACATAATTTATTCATCCTCAAGTTGTTTCAAACTCTATGGTAATAGATACTAGTCAGTAATTGGTTACAAGATATGTGAAAGAAAGACATACAGGTTTGGAACAACATGAGGGTGTGCAAATGATGACAGCATTGCCATTTTTGGATGTGCTTCTCCTTTAAGCTTCCAGCAGGCATGTTAGTTGTGTATATATATATAGAAATAGATGTGCATTTGGGTGTTTCTAGGGAGGCCCCATTATCTCAGTTCAGTAAATGTCAACTTTCTATAAAAAAACATGCTGATGGTGTTTGTAGATGACGGCTGGTTCACACACAAAACAGGAATAAGTGCTAAGAATACATGCAAAACACACATCTGACATGAAGCTGCTCTCACCTCTTTCCTCACATTTACAAGTGTAATACAACAATGACAAACGGTGGGGAAAACCCACAGCCAATCTTGAAAGCAGAAAATCCCCTCTCTTGAACTTCCGAAATGCCGTTAAACATATAAGGCAAAATAAGGACTAAAAGAGAGACCTACTCAAAACAGGATCATGATGCAATGTGAAATCCGAGGTTTCTACGCAAAAAGTGCTACAACAGATCTTGCAATTTAGAAATGTTAAAATTGTGCTGAATTTAATGAAGTGATTCAAGATTTTTCATGGAAAGGTGCATCAAGCTCAAAACAAAGTTTCAGGTTTCACCAAAATATTTTTGAATCAGTTTTTTTTTTAATGTGCTTTCTTTGTAAAAAATAAGCACACAGTGAAAGCACACGACAAAGTAATACACTTTTAAAACACTATATTTAAGAGTAAACCAAAATGGCATATACACTAACACATAAGTGTGTGGAAAATTCAGACATTTTACAGCTAAAACACATTTTTACAAAAAATGGAAGCGCCATATTTCTGCTTTTAAACTTTTGAATGCATGGCCCATTAACTTCCATTGGAAGTGCATTACTTTAATTGTGATTTCTGCTTTTAAAATACATGAAAACCCAGAGGAACAAGCAAAATGATTTTCTATGACAACTGACAATATGCCACTTAGTCTATGGGCTTAACTTGTAAATTAACCGGAAGTATTCCTTTCATGTGGACCGCCGATTTGAGGTTTATAAAGCAGGGGGCGTTATGGAGCAACTGCCACAGAAACACTTATGATGAGGAAAAAAAATGTGCAAGGAAAAGAAAAATTGGAAAAGACAAGGAAAAGAAGTCCTTAAATCCGCCCTGACAACAATGGAATATATATCTAAGAATATATCTGGAAATATGACTGATGAGACTATTCTCATCAATAATCAAGTCATAGATGTACAGCAATAGTATATTGACCGTAGCCAAGGTTACGGCTCACCCAATGGGAGATGAGGAGAAGGGCTGTAGTGGGCTGGTTATTCAGCATTTGGTGGAGCCTGAAGCACAGACATCCATCTATCAATAATTTAAGACAGATTCTCTCTCTCTCTCTCTCTCTCTCTCTCGCTCTCATTCAGATTGCATTCATCTCGCTCGCGGTCAAACACAAAGCGGGTGGAACAAAGATGATGTCCTCCGGTAAGATCACGAGGAGACTAGCAGTTCTGGATGCAGTGGAGAAACAAAGCTGATAGCTACGTTACGAGACAAATGAGACCCGATCAAGTGGAAAAATGCTCACTTATATGCTCGTCTGGTCTGATCATGAGTAAAAGTGCAGAAATAAAAGAGAAAGATTTAAACAACAGATTAACAATCTGATACAAACTTCTAAAGAAATTAACAAAATGGTTGATATGTGCACACCTGTGACCTGTGAAGTTGCTTGCTTTAATTAAAAATACAATTCAATTTAAAGCAAAACAAGATTATTATAGTTAACTAAAACTTAACTACTTACTTTTTGTTACTTTAAACAAACACACATGCACACACCAGAATGGCGGTCAAGTAGTTTCTACAACTTAATGCATGCAAACACATTCAGTGACATAAGACTAGACCTCTCTTATCCAGTTGTAAATGAGCAATACTGGGCAGAGAAAGAAAGCATGCAGCTACTTCTCTCTGCAAGGGAGCTTTTTCCTGTGAGGAAATCTACACAGGAAGTACATAGTTTGATCTGCCCATAGATTGCATAATTGTCTGACCCACTGTTCTAGATTCATGCCAACAAACATGACTCACGTAAAACTTTAAGATTTGCGATACATAACCAACAACAGGAATTATGAAATCAATACTCTAATATTCAATAAAATTAAGCACTTTTGACATGTAGCAAACTCCACCCACATTGACAAGTTCATCCACCAAGAGAAGTCCTCAAAAGGACAATTTAGAAAACCTCAAAGCAAGGTTTTTTTTAAACGGAAGAATTAAGGGCTTTCAATGCCTTTATGATGCTTGGTTCAGAGGTCATCGCTGATGTGTTATCGCTACCTAAAACTATTAAAAATAATTTTTGGTATTTGAAATAAAGCTGAAATAATATAAAATATAAATATTAGATGAACTTAAAACACTAAAAAAAATAAATAAATTGAAGTACTACAATTACTAAAACTGGAAAAAAAAAATCTAAATGGAAATATACATAAAAAAAACTTAATGTCAAAAGCATGTAACAAAATTACAAAAATATAAACAAATTAAAACCAAAAATAAAAACTAGATCAAAATATTAATAAATACTATAATAGTATATAAATACTAAAATTGCACTGCATCGCTGTGGTGCTCACCTTGATGCAGTTGGCCAGGTCGGTCTGATAATAGCGGTCGTGATGTGCGTTAGCGGCCGCCAATGTGAGAAGATATTCATTCCTCGCATGGGTCGCTTTGGAGTTACAATCGCTCCTCTTCGCTTTCAACTGAAACACACACATGAGGTCCAAAACTTCAAGAAGTGCAAAGCACAAGCCTCTAGGACATCCATATAAAGGGACAGTGCATTAAGCCATTCCAACACTGTATCATTCAGTTCGACCTGAACTGCCATTGGTCACATCCAGATTCTGGCCTTTCCTCACTTAACACTATTAAAAGACTTGAAATATAGTGTATGAGTTATATGGACTACTTTTATGGTGCCTTTTTGTAACTTCAAAGTGTAAATCATCTACTTCTAACTCTAGTCCAGCTGTGCAAAATATGACAAAATTCCACTCCAGCACAGTCCAAAGTTGTGCTTGACAGAAGACCCAAAAACATAGTGGTCATGCTACACTAACATGGTGTAAAGAGTAAATCAGGGTTTAGAGCGGGAACAAAATGTTTCTCAAAGAAACAGACAGACGGTGGTGTTTACCTTCACACTGGCCTTCTGTAAACTTATCCTGGACTGGAACAGACCCAGCTTCGACCTGAGAACATAGAGCAGGTATTATAAATCACAGATATATCAGACCCGGTGGAAGGAACAGGTAGGATAAACGAAAGCCCAGACCAAATCCATCCCGGATTTGTGTCGAGGAGGATATAGACATTATAAATCAAACTAGAGTGGATCACTCCTGCAACCTGTGAAAAGAAGGAAGAGGCTTTATAAAGCTGGCACAAAATCTGGTTTTGCCATTGCTGAGATGACTTCTTATCTTAAAGGAACAGTTCACCCAAAAAAAAACAATTTATTTAAAACATGTATGACTTTCTTCTGTGGAACATAACAGGAGATATTTTGAACAATGTGCACACTACTCTTCACTATACAATGACAGTTGTAATTGCTAAATCAAAATATTAATAAATATTAATTCATAATAGTGAATATAATAGCATATATAATAGAACATAATAGTATAATAATACTAAAATATCACTGTCCTCCACTGCAGCTCTTATTCATGCTTCTGCATACTGAAACCAAAGCCATTTGGTGACATTGATGTCAAACTGCATGACTTGGTATCTTGATGTGCCAAGTTTGAAAATGTGGAAGCACTAGTGAGATTATCAGCAAATAACTGTTTCTCACATTAAGCAATCATATGACTTCAGAAGACTGCAGCTTGTATGGACTACTTATATGATGTTTTTGGTCACAGAAAAGAGCATTTAAGACACTTTGTAAAACCACTTCTTTTGTGTACCATGGAGAAAATTTGGGGTAATAAAGGTAATTTGGGTTATGATAACAATATTATGATTCATTTCTGGGTGAACTACTATATTCTTTGAAACCAAAATTAGCTTTTTTTATGACCAACTATGTTCAAATTCATGAACACAGGATGGACAAAATTGCACAAACCACATATGAAAATTCAAAATTGCAATCTTAACATCCAGTTTTCTGTGTTTATGTTAGATTTACATCTGGATTCAGAGATTACACCCACATCACAGAGCCCTATTCATTAGAGATCAGAGTTGTTTTGGGGTCTGATACAATTTGATTCATCAAGTTTGCATGAAATTAAGAACAAAGACAGATTCTCTCCCATCTTCCTCCTACTGCTGAGAACAATAACTGATTCTAATTCAGCTTTACTGCCAAGCCATGGTAAGGAGGACAACATCAATAGCCAAAATCAATAGAAAAACTGAGCAAGGAGCTCACAACACCATGCCACTGGACTCGTCTTTCACCTCTCCATCTAATCCGGTCTTGGCAGAGGCTTTGGAATGGCAATTGTAGTGTGGGTACAAATGGCCCTTAAAGATGGAGAGAGATGGCTAAGTGTGTTTAACAAATTCTGCATCAGGCTAATAAATTGCTTTGAACAGAATGGGGTATTCCCTACTGGGGGCTTAAGTATCAGCCATGGAAATGCATATTTAATGCAGGCATCTCAACTCAACGACACATCTTTTTATATTATTTGGCACTTTTAATGCTTTGAGTTTGTGATTCTGAGCCTAATATCTTCGATAAGGTGGAAAACCGCTCAGTGCAATAACATTTTAAATTTCAATACCCAAAATATGCAAATTTGTATGGAAAAGGCTCAAAAAGCTCAAACGGCAGAGTACGGTGCTTACAATGCTGTGGTCATGGGTTCGATTCCCAATGTAATGTACATAAATTAAAAAATTTATGTAATTTACATAAATGTAAAAGGATCTAAGCTGTATTGAAAAATAATACAATTACAACTCTCAGATATGCACATTTTTATGGAAAAGGCATTCCAGCAGAGCATGGCGCAAGCAACACCAAGGTTATGGGTTTGATTCCAAAGGAATGCATGAACTGATAAAGTGTAACTTACCTATTCAAAAGGTACTATGTACATTTTAGGTACTAATATGCACTTTTAAAGTATTAACATGCACCTTTAAGGTTTTAATATGTATCATTTAGGGGTAAACATGGTACAAAGAAGTAGCTTTTGTAACTTAGAGTACCGCCCCAGTGACAACTTCATACATTTTTTTTTCTGAGAACGTAGTGTTTATTCTTTAATTAATGGGACAAGCACTTGTGAAGTGTGTGTTTCTGATCTGGGCACCTCTGGGACCGTTTGCACCTGCAATACCAGACGCACTTACTTGGACTCAATGTCGGCCTTTTCCCGCACAGCCTGGGCCATCTGCTCCAGCTCAAAGTATTTCTTTTTGGACTTGGCCAGATCCTTCACGGAATCCTGGAGCTCTGCCTGGATCCGACCCAACTGCTCAATGCACTGCGGGTGGCCATCGTGGGACAGCAGAGAGAGAGAGACAGAGAGAGAGAGACTGGAGCTCTGCCTGGATCCGACCCAACTGCTCAATGCACTGCGGGTGGCCATCGCGGGACAGCAGAGAGAGAGAGACAGAGAGAGAGAGAGAGACACAGAGAGAGAGAGAGCGAGAGCGAGAGCGAGAGCGAGAGAGAGAGAGAGAGAGGATGTTAAAGAATTACATGATGGATCAGGGCACGGGACACAGGACCGAAGTTGGTACCTTTTTCAGCTGCTGTTCTTTGTAGAGGCGTAAGGTTTTGGCGGGGTCTGAAATCTCGTTCTTGTAGTTCTCGCAGACGTTGAGTCGAGACTGGGTCACCTGCACGGTGCCTTCAAGATAAGCCCGCCACACTCCATATACATTCCTGCAGCAGGAAAAACATGGTTACTGATTGCAAACACTATTTATGGAGTGCTATTCCCATGCAAACAAAAGCAGGAGCCCTATTCGGACAGTGTCTGATTGCATGCATGTACAGTAAAAGAACATTAGCATAGTTCCTTCGCAACAAAACTTCCACTGCATTCAGATGGCGATTTATTCACAGGTCGTCCTTCAAAACTGGAACTTTGCTTCACACATGGTCAGTCATGATCATAATGAACTTATTTAAGGTAAATAAAATGTTTCCTACCTAAGGAAAAGCATCTATTTGAATAAAGTCGGTAGATTGGCTCCTAGTCACTGAAGTGGGGCAGCCATTTGATTTAATTCAAGTAGTTCATTTCAAACAGCTATCCAAATATTCATTACCATGCAAACTGTCAATCAAAAAAATAAAATGGCAATCCTACAGTAGTCATAAAAGGTTTGACAATTTTTGGCCCAATATCTCTTAAAGGTATAGTTCATCCAAAAATGAAAAAATTGCCGACATTTCCTCACCCTCAAGTTGTTCCAAACCTGTATGAATTTCTTTCTTTTGAATATTTTGAAGAATGTGGATAACCAAACAGTTTCTGGTACCAATTGACTTTCATAGGTTTATTTTTCGTAATATGGAAGTCATTAGCTACAAGCAACTGTTTGGTTACCAACATAATTCAAAATATCTTCTTTTGTGTTCAGCAGAAGAAAAAAATCATACAGGTATGGAACACCACGAGGGTGAGTAAATGATGACAAAACTTTAATTTCTGGGTGAACTATCCCTTTAAGACGTTGATTTAGATTTACAGAAAAACATAGACATTTCTATTTTCTACAGTAGAATCGCAATGGAATTAATCACTAGACGACTCAAACATAATTATGGCTATGCCATAAGATTCAGGAAACACAAACTATCACTGTAAAGCACCCATAGGGAAACAACAGTCATTAAACAACAAGATCCTTATGATTTCACCCTAAACTTGTTAAAGAGGATGTTTTATTCACCTGTAGTCTGTCCTCTGGTCATCTGGTTTGATCCCAGGCCAGTCCCTCTTTAAATACTGACTCGCCAACTTCTGCAGGGCCTGAAAAATATAAAAATAACAGAAAACAGCATAAGATGCTTGAATGTGTTCGGTTTCTCACACTACATCCCAGTTCCATTACTATCCATCCCAAATAGTACGCAAAATACAAATTAGTATGTACAAAATCTTAGTATATTTATAACAGCATGCCAAAAGATCCCATTAAATGTTTTTTTAGGTAATATCACCCAATCCCAACAGACTTTTTCCGCTGATTAAAAGGCTGTATATAAATGAATCTAAAAGTTATGCATTCATGAATATTAAGCTAATAAACTTAGGTATATGTTAATTTATACAATCAAACACAAACCGAAAACAACAAGGTCAACAAGACATTTCATGATGTGGACGTCTGCTGTACTGTTTTGCTGGTAGTGTGCAGTCATCTGTTATTTTGTTTTTCGAATACGAACACAAAGCAATTAACAGGCCATATGCGTGTTCTCATGACCCTGTCATCGAATGCCATTTATCATGGATTAACACAAGCCCAGACACACGACACGTTACAAAGCAACGACCGTGACATATGTTTGCTGTTGGTATGAAGAGCGGGGAGTTTGCATTCTCCTTTGGGAACGTGAAAGGCCTCCGCTCCAAATTACACTTCCATAACTGCACAAACGCCACCTGACATATGGCGAAACAAACAAGGCAGCCTCACTTCATAACATGTTCTCCATTCCGCCATATTGTAAATGGAGGAGAGAGATGCACCTCTATGCGAGTCCGATTAGCTGCTGGCTTTCGTTGCGTCCCATCCCCACCTGCCCGTTTCCCAGATACCAAACAACGGTGCTCAAAGCGGCTCGCTGTGAGCACAACATCTACAGTGTGTGTGCGGATGAGAGAATGGCATGTGTTTGTGTAAGCAGCAGGGAATGAGGCAGAAGAAAGGAGCTGTTCTCCTCGGCTGAGGGCGGCGGTGTGGCAGAGACTGGCCTCTTTCAGTCCCTCAACAGGACGCTACAGATCAACTGGGCTGACGTCTTTTATTTTCCTTCCTCTGCATGACTCCCTCTGCGTATTACAATAATCACTGGACGTGTTTTTCTAACACTCACATCGCCGCTGGACACACACTCATACTTAAGGCGAACAAGACAGTATGACATTTGACATAAAAAGGTCAGAGAGAAAAGGAAACACAAATGTCTTAGTGTGCACTAGGGCAGGGCGAAATATTCAGAACGATGAGCTTTGTAAAAATCGATGCGTTTTAGAAAGGCGGGGCATAGAGGAGAAACAATAATGTACAGTATGTGGAAAATAATGTGTTTTTTAACCTTTAACCGCATAAACACATTTCATTACACCAAATGCACAAAATTAATGTTCTTTTTAGCAGCATCATATGACCCCTTTAACAATATACTCATTTTGATTTTGCTGCCGATATAAACGTAAGTAACACTGAAAATCAGTCTATGGACTAGTTTTCCAATCCTTTAAAAAACAAAATATTCTTTCTGTGATCTACTTTAAAATGTCTATTTCAATTGATGATCAGTTCAAAATGACCACATTTCTCTTCACATTTTCATAGATTTTAGTCAAATATATGACGATAAATGCTAAACAGAACAGTGTCGTTCAATATCATTTATAAATGCAGCTGTTTACACTGGTGAACAAATAAACATATATTTATAAATTATGAAATATTATACTGCATTGTGTTCATTTAGAAAAACTGTGTAGAAAAGTTGTTTTGATTATGTCCTGTGATCAGCTGATTCAGGGTTCAGTTTTCATTATATTCAATACACATAAAATAAACAAACAGTTTAGCAAATACATACATATGAAACATCTTCAAAAGTAAAAAAAATAATAATAATAATTTTTAAATAAACAAAATAAAACCCTTTTAAGCAAATACATAAATAATATATATCTGAGTGAGTGAATAATGACTATTGATGAAAATAATGAATATTTTCAAAGTCCAAAAAACTCAATATAATTAAAACAAACTGTAAATAAATAAATGAATCAAGCAAAAAAATAAATAAATCATTTTAGAAAATACAGAGTTGTATACTGAATATCACCAACCGCCAAAAAACAAACAAACATTAATATACTAGCTGTGCACTAAATGGCTTACAGTATCTTCACTGATCTTTTCTATTTCAAATTACTTCAAGAACAGTGGAATATAAAACATCCTTTTTCTTATATATGCACATCCCACAAACTTTCATAATATGTATCTTCACTGAGAAACACAACCACACAACACAAAATAAAGAAACAAAGGGTAAAAAAAGGGTACTGGACATGCTCAATGTCTCAATGACTGGTGAGAACGGCACCAGAGAGACTGACACAATATCGACAACACGACCGCTGTTTCTTCAGAAGTGAGCCGCAGCTTTTGCCAGTGGTGAACACAAGAACGTCACATGAAAGAAACAGGAGCCACTAATGTTAACATGAAGAAGGAGCCCGTCTAAACATGCAAACGGCCAAATCTGACGAAACGAGTGAAAGATTCAGAACCGTCCTGTCAAATAAGGCCTGAATGTCTGAAACAGTTACGGCGTCAAACCTGGTGCGTGAAGAGCATGTAAGCATGAATCTTTCTATCTCAGCATACATAATGCATACATTCTCAGCAAACTAAAGCATTTTGTCCAGGGAGGCGTTCAGACTCGGCTTATTGTTGCTTCCAGATGAACGTCAGTGTACAGGCGTGTGCCGCGTCTCCTGAAGCGTAGAAGTCAATTCGAGACTTTTGCAGTCAAGCTCGGGTAATTACAGGCAAACACAGCACTTCATCTCCATAAACACCTGGTGGAGCGGTTGTCATGGCAACCGGAACAGTCATCCTGTGTGGTCTAGATAAGGCGGACCACTGCTTTGAATCTGCGCTCTGATAAGGTGTGGTCCAGCTACACAAAGCTGAACTGTATTCAGTCAAGAGGGATCCCGGGAAAATTCACTGAGGTCATTGCATTAATGACCCTGACTGTTTTTTTCTGATTTCACATAAAAATGCAATATCATCTCAGAAACAAGCAAGCATGAAATATGTAATTTCTGTGACTCTTGTGTCACCAAATAGAAATGCAAAAATATGAATTGCAAGTTAAAAACGGCAATTGTGATTTAAAATGCCCTTTTTTCAGGTTTGATGTGCTTGTTTTTAGGGCTGCAAATTGGGACAAAAAAATGTAATTATATATAAATATGACTTTACAATAATAATATTAATAATAATAATAATTATTATTATTATTACTATGACTACTAATACTACTAAATAAAAATATTAACAAAATAAGAAATTACAATTGCAATATTTCACTGTAAAATTAAAACTCAAGTATTTAAGAAATTGTTTTTAATTTTATTTTACAGTACAACTGTAAAATTACAGTGCTAATAATTATGTTTAATTTCTTTATTTTCAAACATTAAACTAGCTTTTGGTTCTATTTCTCTACTTTTGGTTGTCTCTACACATTAAATGAGATATGAGAAAGAAACATCAATTAAAATGCAGACTTCAACTGATACAAACATAACATCCATTAAAGCAAACCTGTGTAAATTCAAAATGCAACAGTGAGTAGGTTGTGTGAATTACTAGCTCTTAAAAATCCCTGAATTAGGCTGGCTCTATTACTAGCTGACCATAATCTGACAATTTTCTTAAGGCCTTTTATGTAAATCTCTTGCAATAAAAAGCACAGCTAGACAAAGTCTAGAACTATTCTATAACGAAAAACAAAAAAGAACCATGAACTATTTAAAATGCAGTGGTCAAAGTCATCTATAGATGCGGCTATTTAAAGTGGATGCATTTAAAGATGAGATTTGAATAAAACATCAGCAGTTTAGGCTCATTCTGCTGTGACATTACTCTTTTAATGCCTTCTTCAGTCCTTACTCTCTCCGAGGCGTCCTCATCTGACCTGCTGAGAGCAACCAACTAATCACATTTCAGGACACTAATTAAAGGTCGTCTAGAGCATCTGAAGCAGCAATGTGTCTCTTCTCTCTTATCATTACAGGCTAAATGTAAGACAAAGGGAAAGTGAAATGGGAACTGGCCTAAATGCTAGACAATATACATAGAGGTTATACAGCGCAGTAAAATACAATGTGTAGAGATTACTCTTTTGTAATTTTGTAATTGATTGTAAAGCCTGGTTTGTGGTATATGGGTATGTGCATTCAGTACGTACTTTAGTAGATGACACATCAAGAGGAGAGGAAATGCAAATGTGTGTCATTACAGTAGACTTCAATGCTCTAAGATCTGTGTTATTTATAGAAATGACTACCACAGTAAGCTTTTGCTGTGTTCACTACCTTTAAAAAGTTTGGGGTTGGTAAGAAGTCCCTAGAAAGGCTGCATTAAAAAAAAATCTGAAATATTATTCTAATTTAAAATATGTGTTTTCTATTTGTATAGATTTTTAAATCGAATTTATTGCTGTGATATAAAGCTGTATTTTCAGCATCATTCCTCCAGTCTTCAGTGTCACATGATCTTCAGAAATCATTCTAATATGCTGATTTGCTGCTCAAGAAATATTTCTGATTATTATCAATGTTGAAAACAGTTGTGTTGCGCAATATTTTGTGGAAATTGTGATTTATTTGACTTTTTTCAGGATTCTTTGATGAATAGAAAGTTCAAATGAACAGTGTTTATTTGAAATAGAAACCATTTGTAACATTATGAAGGTCTTCAATGACACTTTTGATCAATTTAATGCATCCTTGCTGAATAAAAATATTAATTTCTTTAAAAAACTGACCCTCAAACATATGAATGGTAGCAAAAAGTTTTTTTTTTATTTATTTTTTTTACATTTTTTAATGGTTTTAGTTCAACTTAATTCAACTTAGTGGAATATTGACACTATATCTTCTATAAAGCTGTTTTTCAATTAAATTGAATTAATTTAATAACTGACGAATCTTACATCATCAAATTATTTCGATGTTTTATTAACACGTATCCGCTTTAAAACAGT